GCACAGGAGTGAATGCTTTATGAATTGTCGCAATGGCGTCATGCAAAAATAATGTAGCTACAATTGATTTTGTGCATTAAAACTCTTTAGGCTCCCATTCAAAGTAATTAGCGCAATGAGCGTCAAATGTGCATTAACACACATACTAATAGACACTCAGTGGTGTGAATGGAGCCTTAATGAATTGACTTAACAAGTTACAGACACAATAATGTTCATATTGATTGCTAATCAGGCTGTGTCTTATTTAGAGAGAGATTTGCGGCAGGTTTTTGTATGCAGTTCTGGGAAGCCGATTGGGAGACTTATGCCAAGAACAATTTTACCATTTTAATAAGACAGATTTTCATTCAAAACTCATGTACAATAAACAAGCGTTTGGGGTATATTTTGTACTGGCTCAGTGACTATTTTGCATTTGCTGTCATAGTAAACCTGTCTCGTATACCTTATAAATTTACTGTATCTATATGTCTTGTATATTTCTATACAAAAATGATCAGCCATAACTTTGACCACCCACCTAATATTGAGTAGGTCCTCTTTTTTGGCCAAAACAGCCCTGACCCATCAAGGCATGGCCTCCACTAGACCTCTGAAGGTGTGCTGTGGTATCTGGCACCAAGAGTTTAGTAGCAGGTCCTTTAAGTCCCTTAAGCAAGTTGCAAGGTGGGACCTTTATCGATTGGACTTTCCCAGCACATCCTACAGATGCTCAACTGAATTGAGATCTGGAGAATTTGGAGGCCACGTCAATACCTTGAACTCGTTGATGTGTTCCTCAAACCATTTTTGAATTCATCAGACCAGGCCACCTTCTTCCATTGCTCTGTGGTCAAGTTTTGATGCTCTTGTGCCCATTGTAGGTGCTTTTGGCTGTGGACACGGGTCAGCAAGGGCACCCCGACTGGTCTGTGACTACCATACACAACAAACTGCAATGCACCGTGCGTTCTGACACCTTTCTATTAGAACCAGCATTAACCTTTTCAGCAATTTGAGGCACAGTACCTCTTCTATTGGATTGGACCACACGGGCCAGCCTTCACTCCCCACATGCATCCATGAGGCCTGGCCACCTATGACCTTGTTGCTGGTTGGCCAGTTTTCTTTCCTTGGACCATTTTTGGTCAGTTATGAACACTGCAGACATCCCACAAGAGCTGCAGTTTTGGAGTCGCTCTTACCCACTCATCTAGCCATTACAATTTGGTCCTTCTCAAAGTCGCTCAAATCGTTACACTTGCCAATTTTTTTTTTTGCTTCCAACACGTCAACTTTAGGGTCAGCATGTTCAACTGCTGCCTAATATATCCCATCCATTTTCAGGTACCATTGTAATGGGATATCCATTGACTCATTAGTTAATTCTGCATGGTATACATGACGAGAGGGGTGTCATCTTGTGTTTGTTTTGGAAATGGTAAGAAAGCCGTACAGGATCAGCAATGTACCCTGTCTTCATGGAACAAACTAGTTACTTTTATAGAAAGTTCTGAGAAAAGAGGAAGGGCACCAGAAAGGTAAGTCCAGCTTTAGATTTAGATACATCTTTACAGCTCCTAAACGGTTTTAGAGTGACTGTCCATCTTTGGAACAAACTCCCTCTGGTCCTTTCTCCTTCTCAGCTGTCCTCATTTTTTTGGTCAGAGACCCTCCATAAATGATTGTCCCATTTAACCACCAAAATTATATTACTACACTAAACTTTTCATCTGTAGCCCTGGCTGGCTGCACCTTTAAAGCCTATGTTTGCCTAAAACTGGAAAATAAATTAAGAATCAGCACCAGGGACGTTACTTACCTTCAGTGATGGGCCCCTTGTGCTGATGTGTCCTTTTTCCGAAATCATCCTCCTCAAATGTCCCTCCCCCACCAACCTAATCTTCTGGTGCGGCAGGGGTTAATAAAACTAGAGGGCTGTGCCAGAGAACCCGACTATGCCTGCCCTTTCCACCCAGCTGCTCCATTCATACATACTACAGATTCTATGAATGAAACAAGATTTATGAATGGAGGGGGTGAACCTACCCATCATCCACCCATCCTCCATTCATAGAGCCCGTTTCATTCATAGACGCTGTCAGGGATCAGCAGCAGGGATGGCCAGATCTGCGTGGCTAGACTGTGAATGCTTTAAGTAAGATTTATTTACAGTGAACCAAAACCTGCGGGTGGACAGCAAAACTACAACCTTCCACTCTGGAAAGCACAGTACCACCAGCAGGTGATCCAAGTCCTGACAGAAACTGTAGTATGGGCCTCGGGGGGAAGGCATTGGAGGAGGAAGATTTCAGTGTAAAGAAAACACAGCAGCGACACATCTCACTAAAGGGGTGGGCCAGGAACAGTCAGGTGGGGGAAGAAAGAGCAAGAAGATGCTGGTTGTCCTCCAGCCAAGAAATGAGGGGGGCTCTATCTGACTTGCTGCAGGTTCTAATGCACATTGTGAGAATCTCACAGCGTGCAGTGAAATTAGAGTAAGCTATTTTAGAGAGGAGCCGGTACAACTGTGCCAGACTGAAGGGAAGGATGGAGGTCAACTTTAAGCATCTGGAATTTATGGATGAGTAGGATGCTTAGTCCCCCTATGCACTCTATGGTATCTTCTACCTGCCCTTATGTCACTATAGGGCAAAATAATGTCTTAGGGCTCATTTAGTGTCTACTGCTTCAACATGCTTTCTTTATTTGTTTTTGATGCTTCGGTGATGCTTTTTTAAGATTTAATGAAGCTTGGCAAATGCCGTGTGTGTGTGCTGATTTTCTAAAGAGACCCGATAGAACCCCAGCTCAGTAGTACTCCCACTCAGCAGATCCCCAGCTCATTTTTACCTTTGTTCAGCAGTTCCCTAGCTCAGTAGTACCCCCAGCTCCACTGATGCCCCACTCAGTAGTAATCCCCAGCTCTGCTGATCCTCCAGTCACTAGTAACCCCCAGCTCTGCTGATCCCCCCACTCAGTAGTAATCCCCAGCTCTGCTGATCCCCCCACTCTGTAGTAATCCCCAGCTCTGCTGATCCCCCCACTCTGTAGTAATCCCCAGCTCTGCTGATCCCCCCACTCAGTAGTAACCTCCAGCTCTGCTGATCCCCCCACTCAGTAGTACCCCCAGCTCTGATGATCCCCCAACTCAGTAGTACCCCCAGCTCTGCTGATCCCACCACTCAGTAGTAATCCCCGGCTCTGCTGATTCTACACAAAGTAGTAACCTCCAGCTCTGCTGATCCCTCCACTCAGTAGTAATCCCCAGCTCTGCTGATCCTACACAAAGCAGTAACCTCCAGCTCTGCTGATCCCTCCCACTCAGTAGTAATCCCCAGCTCTGCTGATCCCCCCATTCAGTAGTAATTCCCAGCTCTGCTGATGCCCCCCACTCAGTAGTAATCCCCAGCTCTGCTGATCCTCCAGTCAGTAGTAATCCCCAACTCTGTTGATCCCCCCACTCAGTAGTAATCCTCAGCTCTGCTGATCCCCACACTCAGTAGTAATCCCCAGCTCTGCTGATCCCCCCCACTCAGTAGTAATCCCCAGCTCTGCTGATCCCCCCCACTCAGTAGTACCTCAAGCTCTGCTGATCCCACCACTCAGTAGTAATCCCCAGCTCTGCTGATCCTCCACTCAGTAGTAACCTCTAGCTCTGCTGATCCCCCCCACTTAGTAGTAATTCCCAGCTCTGCTGATCCCCCCATTCAGTAGTAATTTTCAGCTCTGCTGATGCCCCCACTCAGTAGTACCCCCAGCTCTGCTGATCCCCCCACTCAGTAGTAATTCCCAGCTTTGCTGATTCCCCCACTCAGTAGTAATTCCCAGCTCTGCTGATTCCCCCACTCAGTAGTAATTCCCAGCTCTGCTGATCCCCCCATTCAGTAGTAATTTCCAGCTCTGCTGATGCCCCCACTCAGTAGTACCCCCAGCTCTGCTGATCCCCCCCACTCAGTAGTAATCCCCAGCTCTGCTGATCCTACACAAAGCAGTAACCTCCAGCTCTGCTGATCCCTCCACTCAGTAGTAATCCCCAGCTCTGCTGATCCCCCCCATTCAGTAGTAATTCCCAGCTCTGCTGATGCCCCCCACTCAGTAGTAATCCCCAGCTCTGCTGATCCTCCAGTCAGTAGTAACCCCCAACTCTGTTGATCCCCCCCACTCAGTAGTAATCCTCAGCTCTGCTGATCCCCCACACTCAGTAGTAATCCCCAGCTCTGCTGATCCCCCCACTCAGTAGTAATCCCCAGCTCTGCTGATCCCCCCACTCAGTAGTACCTCAAGCTCTGCTGATCCCACCACTCAGTAGTAATCCCCAGCTCTGCTGATCCTCCACTCAGTAGTAACCTCTAGCTCTGCTGATCCCCCCCCACTTAGTAGTAATTCCCAGCTCTGCTGATCCCCCCATTCAGTAGTAATTTCCAGCTCTGCTGATGCCCCCACTCAGTAGTACCCCCAGCTCTGCTGATCCCCCCCACTCAGTAGTAATTCCCAGCTTTGCTGATTCCCCCACTCAGTAGTAATTCCCAGCTCTGCTGATTCCCCCACTCAGTAGTAATTCCCAGCTCTGCTGATCCCCCCATTCAGTAGTAATTTCCAGCTCTGCTGATGCCCCCACTCAGTAGTACCCCCAGCTCTGCTGATCCCCCCCACTCAGTAGTAATTCCCAGCTCTGCTGATCCCCCAACTCAGTAGCAATTCCCAGCTCTGCTTATGCCCCCACTTAGTAGTAACCCCCAGCTCTGCTGATCCCCTTGTTTTGCTGATCCTCCTCTCTCGCTAGTCCCCGCTCACCTCCCACTATATTGCTCCCATGTTGCTCACCACAGGTGACATTGCTAGGTTCTCCTACTGCTATCCCCCAGCTCTGCTAATCCTCTACTGCTCCATCCTCTCTCTCCCATCCCTGCTTACCTTCACCTATAGCGTTACCAGGGGCGGACTGACCATTGAGGCACTCTAGCACTGCCGAGGGCCCTGGGTCAGTACGGGGCCCCATGAAATGCCCCTGATACCTTTCATAGGCTTTTTTGGGTGTGGTGTGTGTGTGGGCGTGGACACAGGGGCCCCATGATCCCCTATTGCCCGGGGGCCCCATGAGTTGTCAGTCCACCCCTGAGCGTTAGCTTGTTGCACACCACATTTGCTGTCTGCTAGTTGCTCCGTTCTGGTCCGGACCCCACTCACCTTCCTGCTGCACACCAGACACCTCCAGAATATATACACATGAACCGGAAGTGATCGCTGATGATGTTTTTCCGGTTTCGAAATGGGGTGTAATTTTTGAAGCCAAGCAAATGCAACATGTAAACATTACTGTGAGGTAACCATTTTATTTAGTGACAGGGGATTTGATTGGCATTCAGAGCGCTATAAAAAAGCGTGTCCAATACCACATTTTGAAGCAAGTGTAAACTAGCCCTTTAGGGGTCTGTAGGTAGCGGTGTATTTTGGTTTTTGCTGGGCAAGACTAGAATTGGATGAACCCTCATCTAAATCTGTCCCATCCCTACTTGTTTAAGACCCATCCTTTCAGGACAGACAGGAAGGGGGCAGTGTGACGACGGGGGGGGTGTCAGTGTGACAAGAGGGGGGCAATGTGACAGGTGGGGGGCAGCGAGACAGGGGGAGGCAGCATGACAGGAGGGGGGGGCAGTGTGACAAGAGGGGGGCAATGTGACAGGTGGGGGGCATCGGGACAGGTGGGAGGCAGTGAGACAGAGGGAGGTAGCGTGACAGGAGCGGGGCAATGGGACAGGAGGGGTGAAGGGGGAGCTGCGGGACATGGCGTGGGCAAAGGGACAAGTAGGGGGCAGTGGGAAAAGTGGGGGACAGTAGGACAGGAGGGGAGCAGTGTGACAGGAGGGGGGCAGCGGGACAAGTGGGGGGCAGTGTGGCTGGGGGACACGAGGGGGCAGTGGGACAGGAGGGGGGGCAACGAGACAAGTGGGGGGCAGTGGGACAGGAGGGGGGCAGCAGGACAGGAGGGGGCAGCGGAAAAGAAGGGGGTAAGCGTGGCAGGAGGGGGAAGCACCAGTCCTCCAAGCTCATACTCAGGGTCAGACTGACAACTCATGGGGCCCCAGGGCATTAGGGGATCATGGGGCCCCTGTGTCCTTGCCCAAACTCAAAAAAAGCCTAGAAAAAGGTACCAGGGGCATCTCACGGGGCCCCCTACTGACCCCGGGCCCTCGGGCAGTGCCCGAGTTTCCAAATGGTCAGTCCGCCCCTGCTCATACCTGTCCAGCAGCGGCTCATGGATCTACAGTGGCACCTGCAACACAGAGCGTGGGGGGGAGGCTCCTCCACCCTGACCTCATTCTCTTCTTTCTCCTCCTCCACAGGCTCTCTGCTGGCACCCCCTGGCCTCACCCACCCCACACAGCCCTGCGCACACTACAGATCCTAACCCCCGACTGCTCCCTGTGCACACCGGGGGGGTCCGATCTTCTCTGCAGCTGGTCCCCCCGATGGTCGCCCTGCCGCTCACACCCACGTGTGTCCCTTCTTCTTGGGGGCAGCTCTGCCCAAGGCAAACGCCTTGTTTGCCTCTTGGTAGATACACCCCTGTCTGTAGGAGGAACCATACAACATGGGGACCGAGCATCTGACACACTCGGAAGCTTGTCCCATGCAGAAGCAAGGGCAGCACCCTCCACAATAGGTGGTCTACGTATGAACCATTTTCTTTGCAGGGGGGTCTTATTTAAATTTTTTATGTAAGTGATGGCAGGGTCACTTAGGGAAACATTATAATGACTCTAAATATGTCTTCACTAAAAGTACATTGTAGACCCCTCCTTTAAATCGCATTGTGCTTTTCATACCAACCGCACAGATTTCCAATTTATTTTATTACCCAGAAAACACGTGATTGACTGTGAGTCCCCGGTATTGTAACACGCAAATGTGACCTGGCTGGCAATCAAAGCTCAGACATTATTTCTCTTAAAAAGTATTAGCAGTTTTAATTGCATTTATTCAACCAACATGCTCATTAGACAGACCGCGCGCTTGTTATTTGTATTATTATTTCTCTTTTATGTCGGAATAACTCATCTAGATACATATTTTTTTAACTGTAGACATTAGCTGAATATAATGGGCCCGCGCATTTGGGTTCCTTTAATTATTCCAAATCTGGTCAAGACAGTAATATCCCCAGATATCCGTACGTATATGAAGACTAAACTACATGGGTGACTTTAGAGCCGAGCAGCAGGCAGATATAAAAGTCACAAATGGCACTCTGTATTCTTTATTACATCAAAACATATACAGTGAGGAACAGAAGTATTTGAACACCCTGCGATTTTGCAAGTTCTCCCACTTAGAAATCATGGAGGGGTCTGAAATTCACATTGTAGGTGCACTCCCACTCTGAGAGACAGAATTTAAAAATAAAATTCAGGAAATCACATTGTATGATTTTTAATTGAGGTGATTGTAGCCGTATTAGTGCATTTGCGACAGAAACAATTGAGTACTGTCCGTGACACTTTTTTTTATTTGCACTAACATACAATTTTGAGGACAAGCTTTCGGGGTATGTCCCCTTCTTCAAAGTCCAAGCAGTACTATTACAAATCACAAAGTTTAAGCAGAATGTTAGAAGGGATGAAAAAAAAAAGGCTACAGATAAGATACAGCAAAAGCGAGGGGGGGAGGGGGGGATATTACACTCACACAGAGGGAATCAAGCTAGCTAATAGTCATAAAAACTGTTGGATAATGAGTGAGGAATCCCATGTCCAAATTAAGTCCGTTATCTCTTGTGTCAAATAGAATTATCATTCTTAGTTCAAAAGTTTTTCTTTCCTGAATGGATTTGAATTTTCCTTTCAGAACTAAAACATTGAGGTCTCCCATTGTGTGCCAGGTTGTGCGAAATGGTGTCCTACAGGTGTGCAGAGGTCATCTTCACACACCAGCATGGAACAAAAACCATACAGATACTATCGCTATATTGATGATATTTTCATCATATGGACAGAAGGTGAAGAAAACCTAAAACAATTTTACTCATTGATCAACACTTTTCATCTATCAATTAAACTAAAAATGGAATACTCAAACACACGTGTCAACTTCCTAGACACCACAGTATACATCAAGGATGATACGCTTCACACCTCAATATACAGGAAACCCACTGACAGATGCAACTACCTCCACAGTTCCAGCTTCCACCCCCAACACTCAAAACGTGCCATTGTACACAGTTAGGCTATTAGATACCACCGAATATGTTCTGACCCAAGAGACAGAGATAAACGATCTCAGGACACTAACAGACTCCTTCCACAAGAAAGGTTACAAGGACAAAACTATCAACACCGGCATAAACACAGCCTTGAGAACACGAAGAGAAAATCTACTTCAGTACAAGGAGAAAAAAACAAACAACCGTGTACCTCTAGTAACCACATACAACCCAGCACTAGAAGGAATAAGAAAAATAATCAAAGATTTACAACCCATCATAACAGAGGATGGAACTCTGAAAGAAATATTCCAGCAACCCCCAATACTGGCCTTCAGACAACCCCCCAACCTCAGAAATAAACTAATCAGTAGGAAACTTCCTTCTCATCAAGATGTCACAAATAATGGAAGCAAACCCTGCAGTAAAAAACACTGTAAACTGTGCAACCAAATCAATCCATCAAAAAGTGTCAGACACTCAAAAGGGATCTCTAATATCTCCGGATCATACAGCTGCACCTCCAGTAATGTTGTGTACCTTATCCAGTGCAGAAAATGCAGCAAAGGATCTTATGTTGGCGAAACAGGACAGAAGTTGCAAACAAGGATGAATTTGCACAGACATACCATCAAGGAACATAAAGAAGATGACCTCTGCACACCTGTAGGACACCATTTTACACAAACAGGCCACACAATGGGAGACCTCAATGTTTTAGTTCTGAAAAGAAAATTCAAATCCATTCAGGAAAGAAAAAACTTTTGAACTAAGAATGATAATTCTATTTGACACAAGAGATAACGGCCTGAATTTGGACATGGGATTCCTCAACCATTATCCGACAGTTTTATGACTATTAGCTAGCTTGACCCCTCTGTGTGAGTGTAGTATTCCCCCCCCCCCCCCCCCCTCGCTTTTGCTGTATCTTATCTGTAGCCTTTTTTTTTTTTTTTTTCATCCCTTCTAACATTCTGCTTAAACTTTGTGATTTGTAATAGTACTGCTTGGACTTTGAAGAAGGGGACATACCCCAAAAGCTTGTCCTCAAAATTGTATGTTAGTGCAAATAAAAAAAAGTATCAGTACTCAATTGTTTATGATTTTTAAAGAATTTACTTGTCCTGCACTGCTGAACATAAGTATTTGAACACCTGAGAAAATCAGTGTTAATATTTGGTACAGAAGCCTTTGTTTGCAATTACAGAGGTCAAACGTTTCCTGTAGTTCTTGACCAGGTTTGCACACACTGCAACAGAGATTTTGGCCCACTCCTCCACACAGATCTCTTCTAGATCTGTCAGGTTTCGGGGCTGTTGCTGAGCAACACGGAGTTTCAGCTCCCTCCAAAGATGTTCTATTGGATTTAGGTCTGGAGACTGGCTAGGCCACTCCAGAACCTTGATATGCTTCTTACGGAACCACTCCTTGGTTATCCTGGCTGTGTGCTTCGGGTCGTTGTCATGTTGGAAGACCCAGCCACGACCCATCTTCAATGCTCTGACTGAGGGAAGGAGGTTGTTGCTCAAAATCTCACAATAAATGGCCCCATTCATCCTCTCCTTAATACAGTGCAGTCATCCTGTCCCCTTCGCAGAAAAGCACTTCCAAAGCATGATGTTACCACCCCCATGCTTCACAGTAGGGATGGTGTTCTTGGGATGCAAATCATCCTTCTTTTTCCTCCAAACACAACGAGTGAAGTTTAGACCAAAAAGTTCTACTTTGGTCTCATCTGACCACATGACTTTCTCCCATGCCTCCTCTGGATCATCCAGATGGTCATTGGCAAACTTCAGACGGGCCTGGACATGTGATGATTTGAGCAGGGGAACCTTCCGTGCAATGCATGATTGGAAACCATGACGGCGTAGTGTTCTACCGACAGTGACCTTTGAAACTGTGGTCCCAGCTCTCTTCATGTCATTGACCAGCTCCTCCCTTGTAGTTCTGGGCTGATTCCTCACCTTTCTTATCATCATTGATACCCCACAAGGTGAGATCTTGCATGGAGCCC